TATTTTTAATAAAAAAAAGGCGGCTTCCCAAAAGAAAACTTCTTAATTTGACAGAGTTTACATTTTAGAGTAGTTTAAAAATCCGAAATTATTAACCATAATCTCTTTCCTTCGCTCATTACCTGACAACTATATCTAAGAAGATCGTGTGAAAATTTCATGTCGAACAGTCCAACCGTTTCGGAGAAATTTTCCTCACCGACTTTGAAAACAGCGTTTCGAGAAAAACGCGTTTAACGTTTTGGAAGCCGGTCACACTAATTTGAACTTTTTTTCAAGAACGCTCATATCTCTGAAACTATTTTCCGATGTACATTCGAAATATGTATATACAAATTTTTAAAGTGAATATAATTGCTTTAGTTTGATTCCAGGCAGCGGAAAAAGGTTTGTGCCTTAAGTCTGTAAGTTTAGTGTGGAGACAAGTATTTTTATTGCTATGTTTTCTTTTATAAACAATTTACTTCTAAATTTGTATGCCAAAAATTGCACCTATTTTTTACAAGTCCACCATTTCGAGATTTATGTAAAACTGTAGCGGCGTGCGTACTTTACTAGCAAGCTCTTACCAACACGTTTACGAGTTCCTAGATTCACCGTCGCGGTTAGAGACCCTTTTGAAAAAGGTTAACCCAAAAATAACTGTCATTTTGTACCAAATTTTTAAATTAAAACATCTATTGTACCAGATGTATATGTACAAATATATGTTGAATAAAGCATAAAAGAGAGATATTCGATTTCTTTTTGCTTACTCCTACTTGTATAAATTGTCACAGTCGGGATTTTGAGATTTTAAACAAGCAATTCTAGAAATTATAGGATGTTTGTCATATAGTCCGACAATTTTGCGCTCGAATTGGTTAAGAGATCTTTTTAGGTTCAGATATGTACAGTTGTCTACAAAAAAAAAATAAAAGGAGTGACATTAATAACAAAACGAATCTTTGAATTTTTAATAAAAAAACATGTTTTAAGTCTCAGAATTTTTCACAAGACATTCACTGATGATATATTAATATAAGATTTCCATAGTCCATATGTTTCAATTGAACGTAAAGAAAATTTGATATTCCAGTTTATTTAAAATAAACTAAAAATTAGTTCCACCTAAAAGTAGGAGTATTCTATGTAGTACGAAAAATTCTAAAATTTTTAAATTAAAATGATATCAAACCTTTACTGAATGTTAATATAATTCATATTTCTTTAAATAGCTTTGTTCGTTTTTTAATAGAACATCACACTTCCTGAAATAGAATCTATGAGATCCTGGCAGTGTTAAAATGGTAACATTTCTCAAATGTCCTTTACAAACTGCCAGAATTACTCGAATTGGTTAGTTTTCGTTCAATAACACTATTTTTCTTATCAGTTCTGAGAATTTTTATGGAGTTGAGGTCAGGAGGTCAGGAGACTGAACAGGCTGAGACATAACTTCAACTCCGTTGACTCTACATCAATTCTTTGCACACTTGCTGGTCTGTTTATGGTCATTATCTTATGCATATAATAACATTACCTCATCTAATGTTTTAACAAATGCATTTGATCCACGAGATCTTCACTCAAGAAAAATAGACCAACTCCAGTATGCGAAAAGCTATCTTCTACCATGATTTTATCAGTGATTATTTTCCATGTTAGAGAAACGACGGAGAAAATTTCTAGAACTTTTATTAACAAATAATTAAATTTTGGATTCATCTGGCCAGGAGACATGCTTTTTTGCAAATAGCGGTACTTTTCGTATACATTTTGTTCTGTGACAATCGAGTATAGAGTGTTTCAGTATTAACTGATAAATTTATTGTAATTCAACGCTGACGCTCGTGACTGACGCAAAGGCATTAAGTTTGCAGTACTGTCGTATATTGGGATAGTCAACAATGGATGTTTGGCGCTTTGGCCCATCGGCTTTATTTGTATTACTATAATTTAAGGCATTTGCTACCATTTGGGCAAATTTGCCTTACATTTCTTGGATTTCATTATACGTTCTTCCTAGTTTTCGAATTAATTCTTATCATTTCCCACTTTACCTCTCTAGAATGCTTTCCTCTACACATTGAAAAAAATGCCAATGATTACATTTCCTATTACTAATTCAAATGCTGCTAGATTATGGAACTATTCTTACTTTTCTAATTTTGCGATTATTTTAGTAAGGAAATTTCTAACAGTCCTATTTTTGTGTGGAAAGCAATTCCAAGTGTCACCGAGAACTAGAACTAGCAAACTTGAACGAAAATAACATCATCGCATTAAAAATTGGTTTTACTTGTATGTTTTGATGTAAATATCCCGTTATATATACTGCTATTGTACCTCATCATTTACATGTGATCCAGACACATTATGTACCCAAATATATATTTTTCAAATTGGTACTCGTATTATTTTGTGGATAACTGTATATAATAGACAGAAAATTGAACAAATCCCTACCGCTACATAAGCTTGCATATATAACACAAAGTCTTTTCTACGAACCAATTAATCTTTCTCACGCCTTTCACAGCAAAGAAATAAAGCGATAAAAATTATTGAAATGTAATGGAGCTGATGAAATGGACCAAAGTGTCAATGAGAGCACGCATCAAACGCAAGAAAGCGTCCGTTTAAATGGAAGTTCGTGTATGCATGTGTGTGCGTGTGTGTTGTCACTGATTAAGCGTGTTAATTGCATATTTACAAATGTCTGAGCATAACTGCATAGTTACAGTTGTCCATATTGATATATGTACAGATGGAGGTATGTGCGCTTATAAATAGTTAGATAAAAGCCTTGTTAACACGCATGTACACACACATATACACATATTTGTATATACATATGCATGTTTGTAGTTCAAATGCAGTCAAATGCTACACAAAGTTCACTTATCAATTTACATATGTACGTACATATGTATACACATGTCTACATATCCGATTATGCCTTGCAACACACGCACGCACACACATACTCAAACGCTCGCAAGTGCGCAATCACACTGAGTGGTAACAACAAATTTATGTCCATTTGGCATTCGAACACTATCAGATTGCATGACAGTTCCCAATTACTTTTGCCTGCGAGTCAATCGTTCATTACAAACCGATTTGCTTGCAACTGTCTCTCGGCTGCCTCTTGGCAACGCATAGCTGCAACGCGCTTGTAACTAAGCAACTAAGTGCACATGTCTATGCTCCACACATACATACATACATGCATATGCACTTGTGTGTGCGTATGCTTGTGTGCTTAGTTGCATTTATCCGTTTGCTAGTTTATTGTGCCGGCAAATCTGTATAAATATATATATATGTGTATGTGTTTTTTCGTAAATGTCGCACTAACTATGCGTGCAAATCTCGATATATGTTTGGATATATATATTTCTCTGCATGCAATGATTTGACTTTTTAGTCTAATATCACAGCACATTGAGGCTAAAACGCACATAAAAAAGTCAAATAGTCTAAATTTAAATATATCGCACTCAATATGCGTGCAAACATAACGGGTTTTCCAATAGTGATGATATGTCTTTAAAGTGTGTTGTCGGCCATTTTTAATATGTCATGATTTGTATTTTTTTTTTTTTTATTGTATTCAATAATGTTTACAATTTCATCATACAAAGATATATGCAAGAACAATGTTTACAAATTATTCAATTTTATTATCAAAACAATCGTTTTTCGATAACGATTTTTTAAGAAAATCATCTTCTCCGATGAGGCTTAATTTAATCTGAGTGATGCGGTAAATAAACAAAACCGTCGATTCTGGTGCGAAGAAAATCCAAAAACTTCTCATGAAAAACCATTACATTCACCTAAATTGACAGTTTGGTGTGGTTTCTGGTCTGGTGGAATCATCGGTCCGTACTTCTGAAGCTGGTGACATCTTTACTGTCAATGGAGAGCAGTATAAATCAATAATAACCAACTTTTTATGGCCGCGATTGGAAGAAGTTGATTTTGACAACATCTGGTTCCAACAAAACGGGGCTACGTGCCACACAGCACGTGCAACAACCGAATTATTGCGAGAAAAGTTTGAAGATTCGATAATTTTAAGAAATTGTGACATTGAAAGGCCTCCAAGAAGTTGTGATTTAATACCATTAGACTACTTCTTGTGACGTTATTTGAAGTCATTGGTCTTTGGCAATAAACCAGACTCTATTGAGCTTAAGAAGTCAATATTGAACGTGCTTTTAATGACATACTACTTGATTATAGTGGAAAAAGTATTTGAAAATTGGGTTCATCGAATTCGTTACTGCAAATGAAGTCGTAGAGGCCATTTGAATGATGTTACATTCAGTACCTAATTATATCGATTGTACTTCATATCAAATAAAAAGCATTTAAATTTCCTTAACAATTAGTGTGTTTTTTTTTTTTTGAAAAAAAATCATAGCACTCTTATTGGAAAACCCTGTACATATGTATAGATATGTATGTATTTATGTGTTTACTCTTTGCTTTAGTCATAGCAGCGCACATATCAAACTGCTGTTAAAACTGTTTGAATTGTTGCCTCGATCTAGTTGCTTCTCAATATGCAACAAATTGTGGGCGCAACAGGCGTTAGCCTATAAAACGGTTAATCGTTCTTCCTGGCATGACATCTCTTGGTTTTGTATTGAATAACTCGTGTGATTGCTTTGTTTTTGTAAAGACACACATTTTGTTTTTGTTTTTAGTTGAAAATGTCATTTGCATACATTGACAGTTAAATTCATTTCCGATTAGCTAAAATTGCTCTTGCATTATAAATTTTTTATTTTTTTATGAATTTCATTTTTGAAAAATGTTTAGTTTAATTTTGGATTATAAAAAATAGAGTACTCTATAGTTAACAGATTGTTAAAGCAATTTTCATAAATTACACATAGCTAAAAAATATCATTTCTTTTGTTGAGCGTGAGATCAAAAGTAAAAAGTCTAACAAAAATATAATACAAATCTTTATTATGGCCTTTGAAATAGGCTTCTGGGCCATTACAAACATGCTAACGCTTAGTTCAACTTTCCATACACTTGTCATAAGGCTGGGAGGGTCTTCAGTGCCTTCAGCGAATTCTTTTTTCTTTTCATTTCGGCTCACTCTTAGAATGCCATTCGGTAAATTTTGGAACTGCTAAGTCTCGGCACGAGTAATGTTGCATTTGATGAATATAAAGTCTTCAGCTACGTTGTCAAGCATCTCTTTTGAGATGTCTACTTTCAGCTCTTTTGTCAGGAGTCTAACATTGACACGCTTCATATCCAAAACATTAACCAAAACGTCTTGAATCGATCCTTAAGAGCTGTTGAGATCCTCTGAGTTTCAATCACTGTTTCTCTAACTTTTTTGATATTATCGTTATTAACAGTAGGTGGAGATGGTAAATCAGGCTTTCGACGACTTCACTGAATGTTTGGTGCCACTCAAATAATTGTGTTTGTGATAAAGTAGACTCTTCAAAAGAGCTCTGCAATATTTTCAACGATTCCATAGTGGTGATTCTATTGAAAACACAAAGTTTCAACCAAACTCGTTCTTCAATTTTTTTTTTTCAATGGTAAAACTTACCAGACAAACTTTAAGCGTCATAAACAAAAAGTTGTCAAGCATACACCAATTGACATATGGAGATCAACTTTACACTAAAAAGGCTGTATCTATCTAGGAAATATTTTTTTTTATCAATTTAGTGTGCGCGCGCAGTTTATATGGACCTGTCCGGGTCAAACTTTATCAGATGGTAAATTGCATTTCAGTTGCCAAAAAAGGCGCCGAAGATTAGCCGAGCAGCCGCCATTTTGTATCGGTATCAGGACTCAAATATATGTTTAATAAAACCTGAAAGAGAGAAATTTGATTCTTTATTTCTTAGCACCCAGAATAAACCGTCAAAGTTAGGTCTTTATTAGGGCGCTGGACTGCCCTATCCTTTTAATATCTTTCAACCCATTTATGTTACTGTCAAAATTTATTGCAAATTGTCAAACGTTTATTTGTTTACATTTTAGTATATTTTTCATTAATACTTTCTTTAATTCAATTTAATTTAATTTAATTTATATAATATATAATTTATTTTTATTTTTCAAACTATTTGTTCAATACTTTAGTACGTATAGCAACCTTGTAACAACAGCTCACTCACGTTTAAAATGTTTAAATTTTCATTTTATAAAACAGTTGTTTCTATTTTGTTTCAGTCAGTTGGCAACTCTATACAATTATATTGTTTTTTGGTATTTGATTTGTTGTTAAGTCAGCAAAACATTATGTAGCAAGAAATTTATTAAGTTTTTAAATTAATTTTTAGTTGTACACGTATTTAGAAATTTAATAATTATGGCAACCTTGTAAGAATATCTTAGCCTTATATAAAATATGTAAATCTTGGCACTCACAATGTATCGTAAATTTCGAGTTTATCAAAGAAATAATTTTAATAGTGTGACTTTTAAACACAGTTGGTAACTCTAAAAACTAATATTTTTTGTTTGATGTTTCATAAATCAACCAAACACTAAGCAACTTATCTCCTCGATTTCTTTTTATTACTATGATTTGATTAGAAGGAACTTTCACAGATATAAGATCCTATTTCTTGTCTAAAGCTTAAGCTCATTGATTACCAACATTTTTCTTTTACTGATATAGGAGGATTCATTAAATTTTGGTTTTATCTATTAGTCGCTTCTTAGTTTATTATACACCGTTATTACGCTTATTAGGCCTGGTTGGTGATAGCCTTTTACCTGATGTCAGTTTTTCTGTAATTTTTTTATTGCTTTGTAGTTTGTTTTTGTTAAGACAGCGTTTTCGCATTTCATTTGTAACTCTCAGAATTTTTAATTTTTACTAGACAATTTCGTTTAGGAGCCCTTATAGCTAAGTAACACTATTCTTTACAACTTCGGTTAGATATGGTTTTTTCAATGGAGATTTTATAAAACCGTATTTTCATTTTCAGAGCTGGAGAGCCTACATTCACTGAATTGAGTAGCGAGTTCTAGCCAGCGGAAGCTTTTGCGCTCTTATATATGAATATATATTTATTATTTGTTAATCAAAGTAGCCTCTTAAACTAAATATTTGTAACTGATAAGAAGATACTAGAACAAACATACAAATGTCTCTTCAGAACATACAAATGTACTGTTATATCCAACTGCATGGAAGATAAGAATTCCTAACCTTGAGAAAAGACTCAACAAACAATTTCATCATCATAATTTTTAATCCAACACTTATATAAAATAGACTCAAAAATTATATGGAAATAATAGCACTAAAAAAAATATATTCAACCTTGAAGGTTTATTATAAAACTCATTAACATTCGGTTGGTCATTTGTTGACATTTTATGTCACTACAGTGGCGCCATGTCAAAACATAAGTATATTATAACAGTACCATAAAAAAAGGCTAACGAAAGAAATTACAAGAAGCAGTTAATAAAATTTTCTTTGCTTCCGCCTTGTGAACTTCGCTTTGCTCTCCAACACTAAATTGACAGCTAGTTGTCGGCGCCACGTACCCTCGCGGTTCTGTCAGCCGATGCCGGCACTGCTAATGCTAACGTGTTGAAGGTAACGAGTTTATAACTTTGCCACACTTTTGCTTTCTATCGTATGACACAAGACGTGTGAGTACGTCAACACACATTTGACGTCGCCGAATGACTAACTGTCAGTCACACTATTCACTCCACGCTTGCGCAACACACATTTGGGTCGCTCTTATGGCGGAGACAATCAAACAGCCATAAATTTGATTGGCCAGACGTGTTAAAAAGACGAGAAGAATATAGATGGTTGTGTAGTTCTTTGTAGTAGCGTATTGTATAAGTATTAAAAGCAAATTATATGATAGAAGATTTCTCAATTACAAACAACTATGAGGCTTAAGTAGACTGTTCATTGGATTGGAAACTATAGTCAACCATTAAGCTTACTGTTGAAATATTTACGGTCTTAACCCGAAGACAATGACGCTGGATCACATTGTTTCGCGGTTTTAGTTTGTTATTAAGGATATTGAAATTAAAATTAGGGGAAATTATTTTTGAAAGCAATGTCCTAGTAATAAACTCACGTCAATTTTATTTTATTTTTTTCAATAAATTAGTTATACAGAAAGAAGACCGAATTATGGACTTCGTATAATCACTCGTGTAATTATTCTCTCATCATTAACGGTAGTTAAACGTTGTTGTAATTGAAATATTTTGATGAAAAGACAATCTTGTAGCCATATTTCGTACTAGAGGCTGCCAAAAAGTTGGTAACGTTGTTGAAATCGAACAAAAAGGAATTGAATTTTCATTAGTATTTCCATATAGATTTCTATATATGTTGTCATGTTTTGTCTGCAATAATAATCTCAACGGGTTCTACTCTCCCTGCGTCCAGGGATGTCTACGATTTTATAGCCAACATCAAGCTATTTGGCTCGTCTTCTATTGATTTGAATTCTCTGTGGCCGGAAAAGTTGCGTCCATGCCCCTTTTTGTTGGTGCGTAGTACATTTGCTGCCAGTTTTTGTCGCTGGCTGTGTGTAGTCCGTTTAGGAAGAGCTGATGTTACTGGCGTTGAAATATCAGTATGCTCGGCGCATGCGTCTAAAGATTTAGTTGTGTTCATGCAAAATGCACGAATATTCATTTAGCATTATCTAAGATTTTAAGTTTCTTCCACCAACTTCTTTTTTCCTAATCACAAAAACTCTGCGAGTGAATACAGTGCTCGCCACTGAAACAAAAACATTAATTACATTTATCTTATTCAAAAATCTCACTGATTTATCGAACTGCCCGCGTACATACATTCCTACGCGGGCATACAAAGTATGTGATGTCCATGTGTCTTCTTCCGAATGTGACAGACGATCTTTACGAAGCTATGTACGTCCTGTGGTGTTTATGCTTTGGTTATAAAATTACTTCCTTTGATGGCTGTAGAGGGCTCTAAAGTATCTATGATATGCGTGGCACTAACCTAGAACACACACAAACATAGGCAGTACTTAAAATCTCCATCTCAGTGTGGGTATGTCAATAGAATAGTGTGAACACATTTATAATTTTCCTGGCTGAGAATAAATAATTTCGGAAGTGTTCATAAACTTCATAAGTAATTGACAGTTGATTTCCTGCTGTGGACACTTCTTTCTACAA